TTTCTGTGGGTAAGCCCCGTCAGCTCCCTAGAGCTAGCTACCCAAAGAGCAGAAAAAAAAGGGACTTACTCGGGAGGCGGCTGGACCGTAGCACTCATGACGAAGACGAGACAACTGGCTACAACCGCCGACCCAAGGTGACACAAGACTGCTGAGGCCCCCGGCACATTAACAAGATACTGAGCAGCCAGAACCCTGTTCGGCCTCCAAAACCCTCGCACCTGAATTTCAGCCCAAGACATGTTCCCCAAACACAGCAGTCAGAGCTGCAAACTTCCGAACATCATGGGCATGAGGGTAGACTACAGGCTGGCTAGACTTATAACCCTGCAGACGACCTGAGAGACCCCAAGGCCTGGAACAGGTAATGAGGGATACTGGGTCAATCCACAGCTCGTTACCGGACACAGAATCTGAGACGTGCAGGTAACGGCGTAAAGCCGCAACCAGACACAACACATGATGCACCCCTGGCCTGGCCAAGCATCAATAACCCACGGACCCCTCCAGAAGCCCGCTGTCTCATTCTTCACCAGAAAAGAAAAAGATGGCTGCAAACAAACAAACCATGCATCAGGACCAAAAGAGCAGAAGCTTCTGCGTTGGAGGAGAGGATGAAGCTCCCTGACTGGACCCCTAGAAGCCAAAGCCAACAAAAATAAAGCTTTCTGAAAGCTGTCACTGACTGAAAGGACCATCACAAACCGAGCAGCAGAGAGAAAGGAGAGCACTCGGTCCAAAAACCAGGTCCGCTCAGGCGGCGCACGAGCAGGCCTGAGGTGGATAAAAACACGAGAAAACGCTGCCTGCTTGATTCCTGCTGATGGGGTTCTGGGAGTTCTTCTACTCCCCAAGCCCGGCCCGAGGCCAGGCTTGACTTGTGAGAGTTTGGTCCACCAGGCTGTTGCTTGGAGCGGCCCGCAGGCCCACATACCCACCACAGACCGGTTTGTCCAGCACTCCTTGAAGAAAACTATCTAGTTTTCTCTCGAAGATGTCCACGATTGTTCCGGCAATATTTCTTATGCTCGCTGGGAGGTTGTTGAACAACCGTGGACCTCTGATGTTTAAATAGTGTTCTCTGATTGTGCCTATTGCACCCCTGTTCTTCACTGGTTCTATTCTGCATTTTCTTCCATATCGTTCACTCCAGTACATTGTAATTTTACTGTGCAGATTTGGGACCTGGCCCTCCAGTATTTTCCACATACAGTACTAGCATATATTATTTGATATCTCTCTTGTCTCCTTTCTAGTGAGTACATTTGGAGAGCTTTGAGACGATCCCAATAATTTAGGTGCTTTATCCCATCTATGTATGCCGTATATGTTCTCTGTATTCCCTCTATTTCAGCAATCACTCCTGCTCTGAAGGGTAAAGTGAGCACTGTGCAGTACTCAAGCCAGGACAGCACAAGTGATTTGAAGAGTACAACCATTGTGATGAGTTCTCTGGATTTGAAAGTTCTCGTAATCCATCTAATCATTTTTCTGGTTGACACTATTTGCTTGGTTATGCTTCCTTAACGTTAGGTCGTCAGACATCATTATTCCCAAATCCTTTACATGCATGTTTTCCTTCTATGGGCAGATTTGATTGTTTTGCACCCTGTATTATGTTTAAGGTCCTCATTGTTACTGTACCCGAGTACCTGGAATTTATCACTGTTAAACATCATGTTATTGTCTGCTGCCCAGACAAAAACTTAATTAATATCTGCTTGTAGTTTTTCATTGTCTTCAACAGAAGTAATTTTCATGCTGATTTTTGTGTCATCTGCAAAGAATGATACGAAGCTGTGACTTGTATTTGAGTCTACAGTATATCTGATATGAGAATAAGGAAAAGCAGTGGTGCAAGGACTGTACGCTGAAGTATAGAGCTTTTAATTGCACTTGGATGACTCGATTTTATATGGTTGACTGTTACTCTGTGTGTTCTGTTCGACAAAAAACTTAGTATCCATCATCCTACTTTACCAGTTATTCCCATTGACTCCATTTTATGTGCTCTCACTCCATGATCACATCTATCGAATGCCTTTGCAAAGTCTGTGTATACCACATCTGCATTCTGTTTTTCTTCTAATGCCTCTGTGATTTTGTCATAATGGTTAAATAGCTGTAAGAAGCGATCTTCCTGCTCTAAATCCAAATTGGCCTGAGATTGTGGAGGTCATTGGTTTCCGTGAAACTTGTGACCTGACTCCTGATCACTCTCTCAAGTACTTATATTATGTGGGACAATAGTGCAACTGGTCTATAATTCTTTCCAGATGCTTTGCTGCCTGTTTAACGAAGATAGGTTTTTATCTTAACATGGTGTTTAACAAAGATAAGTTCCAGTTCAAGCGCAAGGGAAAAAAAAGAAAACATAAAAACGGAAACCATGTACAAAACGCAGTCAAATCATAACATAGAACGAAATGGCAATGTAAAGGATTTGGGTGTACTCATGTCGGAAAACCTTACCTTTAAAGTAGTACTACACAATAAAGTAGCTATCACAACTGTAAGAAAAATGACAGGTTGGATAACAAGAACCTTTCACACCAGAGATGCTATACCGATGATGATACTTTTCAAGACACTAGTGCTCTCTAGAGTGGAATACTGCTGCACAATGATAGCCCTTTCAAAGCTTGAGAAATTGCTGACCTGGAGAGCGCGCAGAGATTGTTTACTGCTAGAATCCACTCAGTAAAGCATCTAAACTATTGGGACCGACTAAAGAGCCTAAATCTGTATTCTCTTGAGCGCAGGCGGGAGATACATAATAATTTACACGTGGAAAATAGTAGAGGGGCTGGTCCCGAACCTGCACACAGAAATAACATCACATGAGACCAGAAGGCATGGCAGGATGTGCAGAATAACCCCATTGAAAAGCAGAGATGCAACAGGTACTCTGAGAGAGAACTCTATCAACATCAGAGGACCGAGGCTGTTCAACACGCTTCCACTACACATAAGAGGCATAACTGGCCGACCCCTCACAGTGTTCAAGAGAGAACTTGACAAACACCTCCAAAGGATACCTGATCAACCAGGCTGTGACTCATACATCAGGCTGCGAGCAGCCGCGTCCAACAGCCTGGTTGACCAGTCCAGCAACGAAGAGGCCTGGTCGACGACCGGGCCGCGGGGTCGCTAAGCCCTGGAATTCCCTCAAGGTAACCTCCCTCCCTTGTGTAGGGGGGCTATGTCTGCTGATTTAAGCGCATCTGGTATCTCCCCCATGTTTAAGCTCTTCCTCCACACTATACCGAGTGCCTGTGCTACTGGCACCTTGCATTTCTTTATAAAAATTGAATTCCATGAGTCTGGCCCTCTGGGCTGAATGCATGGGCATGTAGTCAATTTCCCTTTCAAAATCTGCCACGCTCATGTTGATATCATTTATATTTACTGGGGTTTGAATATCAAGCATAAAGAAGTTGTCCAGATCTTCCACTCTCATGCTGTTTTTTTGAGTGCTAAACATGTCCTCATACTGCTTTTTTAGGATTTCACTGATTTCTTTGTCATCCTCCGTGTATGAACCTTCACTTGCACGAATAAGTCCAATACTGGCAGTGGTTTTTGCTTTTGATTTTGCATATGTGAAGAAATATTTAGGGTTTTTTCTTTATTTCTTGAATTGCATTCTGCTCTAGTTCCCTTTCTTCAATCTGATACGAATGTTTCAGTCTCTGTTCGATTTCTTCAATTTCCCTGTTTAAATTATTCCTTCTTTGTATGGAGAGTTGTGTCTGCTTAACCCTTAGATCGCGCATATTACCGTGCACATTGGGGGGCCTGGTAGCGAAAAATATTCAAGTTATGTAAAAATAACTTAAAAATGTTAAACAAATCTCCAACTTATTGGCTTCAGAACAGAACCGGATGAAGATGGGAAAGACCACAGAGGACAAGGGAGCTCTGGCCAACACAGAAAAAGCCCACACCGAACAATGTGAAAGGAAGAAGCCTGCCCAGAACCCACCCACCCCCTAAAGGAGAAGAAAAAGGCTGACCAAGTACAATATGGACCAAGGGCAAACAAAATTTCCACAAACGTGGAGGTTGGCAAAAACTGGGCAAGTCACTTTTGACTGCCCAGAGAGGGACAAGGAGAGCCAGCATGAGTGGAAGGAAAGCTGCCCACAGAATACAGGGAACTCGAGCTAACCCAACAGAGAAACTTACTCCTCGAAAGGCCTACCACAACACAGCACAACCTGCGGTGTGTTGGGTTTTTGACAACTCAGCCCAGACAGGTTGTCAAAAAAAAAAAAAAACATACGAGGCCATGAGGATGGAACCCCAACCAAGTGAAGCACTGCAGGCACGAAGAGAGGAACTGCAGACCAACACTGCAGAAGAAAAAGAGGCAGCCAAGACACCCACTGACCCAAGAAAAGCCAAACCAGCCAACCAACCCAGAGGCAGATGGAAAGGAATGGCCACTGCCACCAGGAACATGGGAATGGACAGCAAGGACACAGCTGATGCAGCCAAGGTGTAGGCCAAGACCCCCACCAGAAGCTCCCTGCTGAGCATAGGGCCTCTGGTGGGGGTCTTGGCCCGTTCTCTGCATCTCTGTGAGGGGAGGGGAGCACTGGCTCTGGTCCCTGTTAGGCCAAACTCTGTGGCTGATGTGACCTAGTAGCTGGCAGCCATTTCCGCTTCAGGGAGCCACAAGGGGATCTGCCAGAAAAAATAGTTACTATTGGTTGATTTATTTCAGAGTTTAAAGCATTGCTAAAGAGCTCAATTTTCTTATGGTAATAAAAATATAGTGGAGCAAAAGCTACCAGTTTTTGGAGACTGCTCTTTATATCTAATAGTTTCTCAAATAAATACATAAATAAAGCATAAACTGTTTGAGAAAGGCAATGAGAGTTGCAGCTTCAATGACAAGGATATATATTATTCATAATAAAGCCAAGAGTATTATATTGGAACTCTAGTATAACAAGGCTAGTGTTCAGGATATATCATAGCATTATATTTTTCAGGTTGTGATGCGCTGACCGTCATTCTTCACCTCTAGACGCCTCCAGAAGGGCTCCACAAACACCAGCTGAAGATGCCAGACATCACTCTAGAGCATCCGGTGTATCTCTGCCTGCCTCACTCTTCTCTTGTTCATTTGAAGTCACATGCTCACTCGGAGTCTGGTGTGAGAGCTTGAGAGTGTGGCAAACAGGTGGAGTGTAGGAAGCCTGGGGAGGCTAAAAGCTAGAGCGCCTCCAACGTCAGGAGGTTTATCAAGCTAGAGAGCAACAGGATATGAAGTCAGGGTACATGATTAGCCAGTGTGGCAAATCATGGTGCAGTAATCCAGAATGCATGAAGAGCCAGAAAGTTTGTAAGGAGTATGGGAAGTAGTTGAATTATCAAATAAAACAAGCAAGAGTGTGAGGTAATTCCGAGGAAGTTAGATTAGAGAGTAATGATCGCTTCTGCACATGAATTGGCAGAAGAAAGAGTTGTGCACCTCCATGAAATAAAAATCAGCATGCTAGACCAAAGTGCATAGTAAGCCAAGGAGTACAATAAGCCAGAAATTATGGGAACTTGGATGTATGCCGTACCAAGGAAGAGCAAGTCAGAGTAAGGAAGGCCATGATTTACATTAAATTAGGATACTAAAAAAAAGTGTAGGGTGTCCAGAATGTGGAAACAAAAGTATGGTATACTAGTGAGTGTGACAGTGAAAGTCTAGTGGTGGGAGCCAGCATGTATAAAAGGTTTAAGTAGAACATTACTGAGAATGCTTCTACTGGAAAGTGAGACAATCCACCATGAGTGCGGCTTAAGCCAGAGAGTAACACGCCTCCATGACCGTGGCCTAAGCTTAGGGACATGGGTCTCCTGGGTGTGCAAGGGATGCCACCAATGGGCCACACGCAGTTAGGGAAAGCGATGCAATTCAATACGTGTGGGATCACCTGTGTCTGTGGTGATGAACCTCTTTCTCTATTTGGCTCTACCTGAAAATTTAAATATAAAAAGAGGTTTTTAAATCATGCTTATAAAAGCAAGGAGCAAAGCTGAGGTTGGGATCCCAAACAACTTATTATAAGGAAAATATCACCAAAATTTTCTTGGTTAGAGCTGTGTGATAAGACCCTTTTTATAATATATTTACAGTACAGTGGAGCCTTAGAAGCAGCAAAAATGGGCAGTTTTAAAGGTGGGTTTTCGGGAGTCTGCCCCCTTCCCAGCAGTATTGACGCAAGTACGTGCGTAGCTCTGGTCCTCGGGTTCGCTGGACAGTAGACTCTTGTCTCTTCATCTCAATGCACAGATTGAAAACTTCACTACACTAAATTACTGACAATTATAAATTTCAAGCATCTTGAAATATTTGAGAATACTATAGCAATTGATATTGGAGAATGTCAATACTGTAAATCAATTCTAACAAATGCTTTTATTGGAATGCAAAACTTTTGAATGTAAATTTATTTTTTCTCAGTTACTGCCTGCGAAACCGATGGTCACTGTAGCTTCTAGTGTAAAGTAATTACTGTAGTTCTGTAGAGGCGATGCCAACGTGATAAAACCTAGGATTTACCAGCTTTGTGCGCCTACAAGCCATTCTGCCAGACAGTCAGCCAAGCAGCCAGCCAGTGCCGCCTTCCGTGTCTGTAAAACTCCGCTGTTTGCACAATTACCAGCCAGTGTGTTCGTCGCATGGGACGCCAACCCCTGGCCTCAACAAGCTCAGTGTCACTTCATGTCACTCCATACAAAGAAACCACACAAGTATATCATACACAGACACATGCCTAAATAAATACAATAATCATATATATATATATATATATATATATATATATATATATATATATATATATATATATATATATATATATATATATATATATGTCGTACCTAGTAGCCAGAACGCACTTCTCGGCCTACTATGCAAGGCCCAATTTGCCTAATAAGCCAAGTTTTCCTGTATTAATATATTTTCTCTAATTTTTTTCTTATGAAATGATAAAACTACCCATTTCATTATGTATGAGATCATTTTTTTTTTATTGGAGTTAAAATTAACGTAGATATATGACCAAACCTAACCAACCCTACCTAACCTAACCTATAAAGATAGGTTAGGTTAGGTTAGGTTGCAGAAAAAGTTAGGTTAGGTTAGGTAGGTTAGGTAGTCGAAAAAACATTAATTCATGAAAACTTGGCTTATTAGGCAAATTGGACCTTGCATAGTAGGCTGAGAAGTGCGTTCTGGCTACTAGGTACGACATATATATATATATATATATATATATATATATATATATATATATATATATATATATATATATATATATATATATATATATATATATATACACAAACATACACAAGTGTGTGTGTGTGTGTGTGTGTGTGTGTATTATATATATATATATATATATATATATATATATATATATATATATATATTGCCATCACACAAAATCTAAGAGAGATAACCACAATGAAAGAACACTGATGATAGAAGACTTTCCTCCTGAAGACAGGACTGTTTCCATCTCAAATAGATATTGGAGAGAAGAAGTTGATCCTTGGCCTATAGCACCACCTCACTAACAGTAACTTTACTTACAGTGTATACCAATATCAAAGTCTACCAATTCTGCTGAAAGATGAACTGAAAATCAAATTTTATTTCATCAGTTCCAAATTTCAACATGTCCAAGTATCACTTTAATCCCTGTACTGTGCACCTGTTACATGTGCACAGTACAGGCCTGTTACAGACCACCACAGGGTGGTCTGTGGTGGTCATAAACAACCACCACAGGGTTGTCTGTGGTGGTCATAAACAACCACCACAGGGTGGTCTGTGGTGGTCATAAACAACCACCACAGGGTTGTCTGTGGTGGTCATAAACAACCACCACAGGGTGGTCTGTGGTGATCATAAACAACCACCACAGGGTGGTCTGTGGTGGTCATAAACAACCACCACAGGGTGGTCTGTGGTGGTCATAAACAACCACCACAGGGTGGTCTGTGGTGGTCATAAACAACCACCATAGGGTGGTCTGTGGTGGTCATAAACAACCACCACAGGGTGGTCTGTGGTGGTCATAAACAACCACCACAGGGTGGTCTGTGGTGATCATAAACAACCACCACAGGGTGGTCATAAACAACCACCACAGGGTGGTCTGTGGTGATCATAAACAACCACCACAGGGTGGTCTGTGGTGGTCATAAACAACCACCACAGGGTGGTCTCTGGTGGTCAGGTATTCACCCAACTTAATAATAGTCTAGGACAGACCGATACGTCGTCGTTTCTTCATCTTCTGTTTTTACTGTCTTGTTTTACATTGATATGGTGCATTAAGTTGCCATAATCAGATGGTATTCAGTAAAGTGTGCAGAACATCGATATTCACACAAATACAGTACAAAATATATATACATGCCCATTATATGGGCACCAAAATGATTATTTACAGTAAATTACATTATTTTTCAACTTTACATATACAGTATATATATATATATATATATATATATATATATATATCACAGTATATAAATAAACTTTCAAACACACTATGTGCATGTTTATGCTCTATACTACACACACTCAGAAGTTCTGGATGGTGAGATAATTCCAAAAGCAATTTACAGCCCACAAGGCACTGCAGCATTCTTTGCACAAAATAGTAACTATCTTCCGTATCTTCTCTCTTCTCTGTGTGTGCTTACAGACATCGCACTTGTGTGCCTTTTACCTTTTTTCCTATAGAAATTAGATAATAAACCTGGTGTGTCATAAAGCCATCTTTGACAGTCAGGCTGTTCAGAGCAGTGCAAGCTTTTGTTGGGCTTGCAACTCCTTGTGTTGCTACATGTCCTTCTTCACCTAACTTTACAAACAGTTTTGATACAACAATAAGACTAAACACACACTATGTTGGTTCTCTGCCTGATTTCACTTTATGCTGTAACAGTTCAGCATGGTTACATCCACAAGGTAAAAAAAACATTTTCCTTGTCCACTTGACACATTCAGGTCACTGAACATGTACTTCTTTTTCCAAAGTCTATTGTTTACAATCTTGTCACTATTCTCAAAATGAAGACACCTAAGAATTAGATGGTACCTGTTGTGAGAAATGTATCTCCCGAAAATTGGGATCGGAACAAGGCTGTCTTTGCTCCAATAATCCTGGATGATGTGTTTCACCGAATGTTTCCTTGTACAAAGCCAAGAAATATATACATTTCAGCTACGGTGGTGTCTTTCCACTGCTGCAAACATGAACAAGATGCTATGCCCTCGTTATCAATAAGTTTTGCTGCATATATTTTTGTTTCCTGAGCAGCCCATCAAAATAAGCAGCAAAATAGACACATTAACATACATCTTCACCAGTATATGGGAAAATATCTGTAATGCCTACACCTATATCATCAAATATAGGTATTTGTGGAAAAAAAAAGTTGGCACCATCAGCCCATAGGAGTACAACCCTGTTGCTTGCAGCACCATTTTCACCATTGCCAATACCACCACAGCTATGAATCTCACCTCCAATAAAACTATGTTGGCTGAGAGATGAAGTTTTTCTTATATGCAGAGGGCAGGTACAAACAGTTGAACTTGAGAACATGCTTCCCTCAAGTTCCAAGTACAACATTACACTGCATTGTCTTGCAGGTGAGGTGTTGACACAGCAGACTCTGCCTAGTAACACCATCATATCTGCTAACACTAACAACAGCAATGCTACTAGTATCAGAATCATAATCAATAAATCCATAAAATGAGTCATCTTCACCATGTCCATGGAGTACAAGAGGTGGCACAGCTACTGTAATGGAATGCAGCAGCACTGGTGGATGGTGCTGGTGTAAGCCTCATCTTATAAATGCTCACATGTCTATCAATTTTACTGTCAGTATCACTTATATCTGATCTTTGTGTATAGTCTGTCACCAACAGGATCATCTACATCACTATCAACTTCCAATTCTAGCAGTTTCATGCATGCAAATTTGCTCATCTGTGAGTGATGGTCACTTCCACTGTGAGCTGCAGGTGTACGAGTCACTTATGATTGCTGTATACAAACCGAGGCCTACCCCCAAACATGTAGATAGACCTCGGTTTATATAGGCTATTACACTAGACCATAAAACTATCTTGGTTCATATGAGCAAATTAAAGTTAGCACAGTAATTTGCTTAAGAGGTCAAAGGATACAAACTGATGATGTGAAGTGACATCACTATGTTTGAGGTGACTTTAGCCTGAGGTCAAGTCCTCTTCTCTCCACTGTCTAGTCAAGACATAATAGGTCCTGTCATCAGCACAAAATTGTTCCTCTGTCAGTGTTTTATCATTGCATCTTTTCCATTATATCTATATCTATATATATACAGTAGAACCTCGAGTGACGATCATCTCAAATAGCGCGAGCATTTTGGGTAACGATCGC